TCTCACCGTGTCACCCAGGCTGGGAGTACAGTGGCGCGACCTTAGCTCACTGCAACTTCCGCCTCCCAGGTTCAAGTGATTCTCCTGCCTCAGCCTCCTGAGTAGCTGGGATTACAGGCACCTACCCACCATGCCCGGCTAATTTTTGTATTTTTAGTAGAGATGGGGTTTCACCATGTTGGCCAGGATGGTGTTGAACTCCTGACCTCAGAAGATCCATCCACCTCGGCCTTCCAAAGTGCTGGAATTACAGGCATGAGCCACCACGCCCGGCCCTGGAACCTAACTTCTTACACATACATGAGCACACATGCCTTCCTTTCACCCACAGATGTGTCAACTGCCAAACTTTCTCCTTACCCACACTTCGATTCACACCTCTGTTCCTTATGCAAACACACACACCAAACCTCCCACAATCCCGGCTCATATACATAGAGACAAGCACAGTGTTCTCATACTCCTAGTCCTGCTCCAGAACTGTGCACCCCCCGACCTCGCACCATCCCTGTCCATATTCACACACAACAGTCATGTCTCCACACGACACTCATAAAGAGCCCACAGATGTCACTCCCTCACCAGAGATGCAGGCTGACTCTGCAACCATGTCTCAACAGACCAGGCTATAACCCTTCAAGCCCCTTTGTTTGTTTTAAACTCTTGGCTTTTCTGCCCACGAGGACGGATGCGTTATGCAGAGTGGCTGACTCCCGTCTCCCAGGAGACTCCGCTCCCTAATCTTTTTTTCTGAGTTCAGTTCCCTTTTTCTGCTGGGCAGACCCTCCGAGCTCAGCTGGGCTTGGAGCTGCTCTACCCCATGCTCAGCACGTATCTCTCCTCTCCTTCAGTGGTGCTGATCGGCGAATCAGGTGTGGGAAAGACCAATCTGCTCTCCCGATTCACGCGCAATGAGTTCAGCCACGACAGCCGCACCACCATCGGGGTTGAGTTCTCCACCCGCACTGTGATGTTGGGCACCGCTGCTGTCAAGGCTCAGATCTGGGACACCGCTGGCCTGGAGCGGTACCGAGCCATCACCTCGGCGTGAGCCTGGGCCTGGGGGCTGCTGGGTGGTGGGAGTTCTGGGGAAGTCAGGGAACACTTCTGGAGGAGGAGGAGGCAAGGCGGCTCAGTGGTGGGCTCCGGGGGGCGGGGAGGGGGACGCATCTCAGAAGATACAAGGTACTGTAAACAGAAACAGCCCTAGCCGGGATGTAAGAACACTGACTAGTACCACCGAAAGCAGGAATCATTGCCACTTGCTAAGCCTTTGCTATATGCCCAGGAAGGGACAAGGCATTTTACGTTTGGCATTTTATGTAACCCTTAAAGTATCACAGGAGTAAAGTGCTATAATTAATTAATTTCTATATAAATACAAGCAAGGTGAAATCAGGGTGGAGCTGGGATGGGGGAAAGCTGCATGGATCGAGAGCGCCCCCTCACTTCTGCACAGTGCTCTGCACTTGGCAACTTTCATCTTACCACAGATGGCCACAAGCTGAACCTGGCATCTGCATTTTATGAAGACTCAGAGGACACACAGGAGGCCTCCTGACACCACATCCGAAGTGTCTCTTAGGCCGGGTGCGTTGGCTCACACCTGTAATCCCAGCACTTTGGGAGGCCAAGGCGGGTGGATCATTTGAGCTCACAAATTTGAGACCACTCAGGGCAACATGGCAAAATCCTGTTTGTACCAAAAATATAAAAAATTAGCTGGGCATGGTGGTGCATACCTGTAGCCCCAGATACTCAGGAAGTTAAGGTGGGAGGATGGCTCAAACCGGAAGGCAGAGGTTGCAATGAACCGAAATCATCCCACTGCACTCCAACCTGGGTGACAAAGTGAGACTGTGTCTCAAGAAAAAAGTGTCAGCAGGTGTGGTAGCTCACGCCTGTAATCCCAGCACTTTGGGAGGCCAAGGCAGGTGGATCACATGAAATCAGGAGTTCAAGACCAGCCTGGCCAACATAGCAAAACCCCGTCTCTACTAAAAATTGACTGGGCGTGGTGGTGTGCGCCTGTAATCCCAGCTACTTGGGAGGCTGAGACAGGAGAATCACTTAGACCCAGGAGACGGAGGTTGCAGTGAGCCAGGATTGCGCCATTGCAATCCAGCCTGAGTGACAAGAGCAAAACTCTGTCTCAAAAATAGAAAAAAGAAACGTGTCTTCCAGTCAGTGTGAGGCCTAAGCATGTGAAATGGGGTCTGTTTGTGTGTGTATGGGGTGGATAACACTTGCCAGGGGGCAGGAAGCAAGAAGCAGGGGCTTTGGTCACATACCCTTGAAAGGTCCACACACATTCATCACTCCTCGTTACCTGACCTCTTCTGAGCCTCGGTTGACTCATCAATAAATTGGGAGTTAGGCGTCACCAGTCTGAAGACACCCCATCCGACTCCAAGAGGGAGACTGGATGCTTGCAGTGATGCCTTGAATGGTCAGGCCAGGGACTGCTGCAAGGGGTAGGCATTCAGCTGGTCCTAGAAAGACGGCCACAAGGCCGGGCGCGGTGGCTCAAGCCTGTAATCCCAGCACTTTGGGAGGCCGAGGCGGGTGGATCACGAGGTCAAGAGATCGAGACCATCCTGGTCAA